AGCTAATCCCCCACAATAATTTTGTTTAAAGTAACATGCATGTGTACATTGCACGTGATAGGCAGATATATTTCTGTGGAACACATGTGTAACTGAAAAATTAGTGAAAATTGTATGCAATGATGAATGGCAGTGTCAATGATGAATGGGCCGGGGGTCATATAAAAAAGTAGAAATATATTTCAACTTTGCATGCAATGATAGTAACTATGCAACTATTAGTATTTATTATAGTGTACCAATTTCCCAAACCAAGCACAATTTAAGGGCATATGCATGCATTCATTATCATGAAAATGTTTGGGGTGGGTGGGGGCTGAAGCCTCCAGCTTAAGGGGTCAAGTGTCAAAATTGAACTTCTTAAAGAAAGGGTCAAATATACAGTATGTTTATGCCAAAAAGACGTCAATATGACGGGAGGGAGCCCGAATGCAGGAATGTCTTTTTTTCTGAAATGTAGGCTTGAAAACATTGAACAAAAAAAGTCAAAAATAATATTAAAAAGCTCTGAATCTCACAAATACCTCAATCAAAATAAATCCTTCAATAACCTTGACCTGTTCACAACATTCTTTTCAACAGTCCCATAGACGTCTCCCAGTTCTTATTATACCTGTGGGCTAACAGTATACTTTGAAAACAGTGCAGAATTTGAACTTGTGAAAATTTTCTCGAAATTATCCGGTATTAAGGTCCAATGTCCTTGGTAGGGAGGCACAGGCTTTTGTAAAAGACCCTTACCTTATTGACGTTTTTCTGGCAGAAACATCTACAATATTTTTACCGTCCGTCCGTCCGTCCCATACGGGTCTCTACAAGGGATCTTTTTTACGACAGGAATTCTTCACGGATCTAGTTAAATTAATAAGCCTCATTAGAACAGTTCCGTCTTTCAAATGTAACAACGGCTAATCATTATAGTTGGCTGATAGGGTCCCTTTATATTTTAACAAATCTTAGATAGCATCAATTAAAATATACAGTCCGTGATATTAAGTGGAAGCTGTATTGAATTGTTTTATTTTTGAAGTACGATTTTAAATCATGAATAGGATTAATTTAAGTGACTATCGCCGGTGTCCCAGTTGATTTCCATTTGGACCCGCTGTCAAGCGAAATTCCTGACCTCTGCGAAATACCTGACCAAGCGTGACAGGTCAGAAATTTCGCGCGTGCAGGCGTGAAATACATGACGCTTGCTAAATTCTAAAGGGTTAGGTGGAAAACGCGGACATGCGGACACGCAAGTCAAGTGGAAAACGCGGATATGCGGACACGCAAGTCAAGTGGAAAATGCGAACACGCGGACATGCGGACACGCAAGTCAGGTGGAAAACGCGGACATGCGCGCACGAAATTTACTAAACTTCAAAAAATCTATTACGACAATAATTAATAATTTTTCGCGTGATATTGAAAGTTATCAATACCGAGGTTGTGTTTTTCTCTCTCTTTTCTCTGTCTTAGTTTGTAAGCTCGTTTAGTGTATTTCGCTTCTTTTTTTAGTTACAAAAACAAATCTCGCCATGGGCCATTGCTTTATATGTTCTGCATGTAAAGAAGCTCGTTTTCTGCTGGCAGAATTGATGTCATATTTACATTCAGAAAGCTATATCTGCAGGTGTGATGTCATAATTACACAATCAAAACGGAGATTGTATAGGAAATAATGACTGAAGATTGATAAATGGATTGTTGCGCGAACTTTTACTGTTTTCATGTATTTTACTTACAGTATTGAAGATTCTGAAAAATCCACTCAGAATCTTTACAAAATACAAAACAACGGCAATTCAGGAAAACGTTTTCATATAGTCAAGTTTCAACTACATATGTTTTAATTGTCATCACGAATGATACTAGGTTATATTTATAAGTGAGGAATCACAGAGTAATTTGATATACATACACATACGTATATATTATCAGGTCTTTTGATGCTTTACTTCCCTGCTTCAAGGTTAAGTTCTCAGTGCAAAATTGTAGCTGATCATGACTAACTTGTGATTGTCATATAAAAGCTAACGCGCTAGCTTTTCAGCAACTGTATAGACCTTATTCATAAATCGTGACGAGGCTTCGTATCCTAGGATACGGGAACAAAACGCGGGAAAACAAGCGAAAACTGCTTGACTTTAACGGCTTGTTTCTTGTTGCTTTTTGCGATTTGTAACGATTTTTTGTGTATTTTAAGACATTGTGCCCACAACGAAAGCGGTAAACGAGTATATTATAAAAGCGACCGGTTTTTCTCCCGTTTTTGTGTGAAAAAAATGCCAACGTAGCGATGGTGTTTATCCAGAAGCGAAAAACAGTATTTTACTGAGATTTTAACGTCAATATAAAGGTTATTCCGTGAAAAATCAATGCAACTATGGAATGAAAGTATAATGTTTCGAATTTGACATAAGTATGAAAGAAAACAACAGGTCAAAAATCACAAGAGAACGTCAAATGTTATTGATTCTTATATATACGGGGAAAATATGAACTATGGCTGTGGCTCGATAACATTCTGCAAGCAGCTTACAAGTTTAAAAAATGAAGGCTACATTACCTGAGTGAGTTGTAATCCTATTTCTTCAACAATAGTTCCATATTTCTTACGATTTTGGTGTTGTATAGACGTTTTGTAGCCTTGTTGGTTGGTTGTTGTGGCCATACAAACTTGGCAATAATACAAAGTCAAAGGTTTCCTTTTTCGATTGACTCCAGCATCTTTTGCTTTAAATATCATGTTATATTTTCGAAAAAAGCCGTAATATTCACGGAAAAAAAGCCGCCATAGCCGACAGCAAAAAAACACATTTTGTCAATTTTCCCGCGTTTTTGCCCGTTTCCTAGGATACGAGGTCTCATCACGATTTATGAATAAGGTCTATTCGCCACACAAAAATTGCCCAATTTTCCTTGTCTACACGAACAAATAAAAATTGTCACATCAAAATTGTCACATCAAAATTGTCACATAAAAATTGCTCGTGTAAACGGGGCTTAATCAAGTGTCTATTATGCTTCTGAAGCCTTATTATGCTCGAAATTATGCCGGCATAATTTACCCAAGCCTAGCCAGGGTTCGTAGCGGTCTTTAAAATCCTTGAAAGTCTTTAAATTTGAATGCAGGTCTTTAAGGTCTTTTAAAAGTCTTTGAATTGTGTGAAAAAGCGAAAAAAGTCTTTAAAAGTCTTTAAATTCTTTAGTGCGTATTTGATTATACAATTTCCTAGCTGATAAAATTGATTGAAGCAAGAATTTCGCAAATATCGACGAAAAGGTGCATTTTAGGATGTGGTATGACGGGACTAATTACCGGGTAAAAATGGTGCTTACACTCGCAATTTTTCGACAGCTGATTGCTCTCAAAGATCTTTGAAAAGTCTTTGAAAATAGGCAGAAAAAATCTTTGAAAGTCTTTGAATTTTTTTGGTCTTGGAGACTACGAACCATGCTAGCCTGTAATCCATTAAGTTTCAGGTTGTCCGGAACAAGCGGTAGGAAGACATTCTGCAATCTTTATTCAGACAAAACTTTCCCTGTAAAATTTGCCAGAATTTTAGTATTGAAGCACACTTACTCGGCTAAGTTGAATGCACTTAATTAAACAAATGAGTTAACTTTCGGTGCTATAAATATAACTCAAGTTATAATAAGTATTTAAGTTTTGTCGCTCTCCAATATCCCTCGCTTCAAGTGACAAAAAATTCGTTTTGATATAGATATATTTCCTGACCTTCGGCATATTTTGACCCACGACCTTTTATAGCCAAGCTCATTAATTAATCACCTATTGTGAGGCAGGATTAAAAAGGATTAAAGGAGGTGCGAAGTGTCAAAATGGACGGGCATTCTATACAGGGTGTATAAAAAAAACGCAACCTCGGAATTTCCCAAGAAATCGACATGGTTTTAAAGACAAAATATTTTAGGCGCCTGGGAATTTAAAATAGCACAATAATGTAATGTGTTTTTATATACATATTTTTAGGGACCTTGTAAATGGTGCAATAGGCTCTGTAGGGTTAACCTGTCATTTATGGCTAAGTATTTAGAACAAAAAAAAATGCCGACAGCGTTTTAGAAGTCGAGATTGTTTTGTGTCGAGATTGAAGTTTATCACAACACGTTTTCTAAAATCTACATATGCAGGAAGTTTTATATTTGACATACACATGAAATTTGTAATGTTTACAACATGAGCGGCCGTGTTGTATCGGATATACAAACTCGAGCCGAAGGCGAGAGTTTGTATATCTGATACAACACGGCCGCTCATGTTGTAAACAACTTAAAAAACGACTCATCTTATGAGTTCATTGGCGAAGTAATTTTAAAAATAAACGTTGTCTAAGCCGAGAAAATATAAGTTAAAGTTTATGTAAATCAACATGAATCTGTATCACATATACAGATACGACACGCTTATGATTTTTCTTTGTGTTTTCTTCATGAATTATTAATGAGTTTTTTAATTATTTTTGGAATTTGCTGCCAGGAAGATAAATATGACCACATCAAAAGTTCGATCTGTTCCTATACAGTTTGTTTTGACTGCATTCATTTGATTTATTGATTTTTATCACATGCTTGGTTTTGTATTTACTGTACGTTATTGAAGGCAAAGCAGTGATTTAAATTTACCTAGATGTAGACTAACAACCGGACAAAGAATGTTCTTCACTACAGAGGGACAAAATTGTATAATGATCTCCTTCGCGATATTAAGAAAAATGGGAAACACAAAGATTTTGGACATAAGACTACGAAGTGACCTTATTACAAGTAATTTATTAGCCTAACCTATTTTAGCCATTAAATTAACTATATGCTTGTATAGTATTTATTTGTTTGTAGCGGAAGAGCCCTTTTTCGGGAGCTATAATAAAATATCTATGTCTATTAAAGCACATGTGGCTATGTTTTCCCAGGGAAAGAGCCTGGGAACAAGGTTGATGTTTCCCCACACATACTAACTTCCGTTCCTTGAATTTCGTTTTTGTATTTTTTAGGTAGTTATAGAATAAGATTGCTCAATCAAGCTCACAAACTGGATTAAACCATGTCTGGTCATCGTGGAAAGACATCAGGCAGCTTAGTAAAACACAAAAGAGCACACTCGGGAAACAAACCTTTTGAATGTGATGTTTGTAAGAAGAGATATACACGCTCAGCCAGTTTGGTCATCCATACAAGAACGCATACTGGAGACAAACCTTATGAATGTGATGTTTGTAAGAAGAGATTCGCACACTCATGCAGCTTGGTCATCCATAGAAGAATGCACACTGGAGACAAACCTTATGAATGCGATGTTTGTGAGAAGAGATATACACACTCAGGCAGCTTGGCCAACCATAGAAGAATGCACACTGGAGACAAACCTTATCAATGTGATGTTTGTAAGAAGAGATTTGCACGGTCAAATTATTTAGCCATACATAAAAGAACACATACTGGCTATAAACCTTATGAATGTGATGTTTGTAAGAAGAGATTTGCACAGTCAAACGATTTTGCGAAACACAAAAGAACACACACTGGATACAAACCTTATGAATGTGATGTTTGCAAGAAGAGATTTGCGCAGTATGGCAACTTGGTGAACCATAGAAGAACGCACACAGGCGAGAAACCTTATGAATGTGATATTTGCAATGTTAGATTTGCACAATCAGGAACTTTAGCAATACACAAAAGAACTCACACAAGAGACAAACCTTATGAATGCGATGTTTGTAAGAAGAGATTAAGAAACCCAAAAAGCGTAGCGGATCACAAAAGAATGCACGCTGGAGACAAACCTTATGAATGTGAAGTTTGTAAGAAGAGATTTACACAGTCTGGTAGTTTGATGCGACATAGAAGAAGACACACTGAAGAAGTGCCTTACGAATGTGACGTTTGCAAGGAAAGATTTGCAAAAAAATCCTCTCTTACCCACCACAAAAAGCAACATTTGTTGTGCAACACTTGCAGCAGAGAGATTGTTCAACCACAAGATTTGAATGAACATTTTTTCGTGTTTGAACACGATGGAAAATGTAGCTGCAGTAAATGTGACAAACGATGTATTAATTTCATGAAATTGGTACAACATATTGCCAGGCAACATGGTAATGATGGAAACTATCAATGTGGTTTATGTCAAGAACTTGGATCAACAGAACCAACTGGTGTTGGATACGTTTGTTGCGTGTGTGATGTTATGTTTGTTGTTCCCAGAGAACTTGAAGATCACATGGCCACTCATGACACGATGTCGGCTCATAACGAAATTAAGTAAATTTCTACTATTTTTGCATTTTAAAGAGTATTGTGTCGCTGTTAGGTTACTACTGTAGGTTTACTTTTTAACATAAAATGTTTGCCGGACATGTAAGGGGTAGTTGCTACTTTATATTTTGTTATGTTCAACGCTAAACGTGATTGGCTGATTTGTGTTCACGAATCGATAACAGAGACTTTAAGATCGATGTTTATGAGAGGCAACAAACTTCAAATCGCGTTTCGTGAAGTTCTGCAAGTTTTCGACAGCTAAGTATCTCATTTATGCTTCATGTATTTTGAAAATGATAATTCATGACGCTAGGGAATTTGGAACTTCCAAATAGATATTCCAAATAGATGTTGGTTAGATATATGCTTAATCGAATAACAAGGGTAATTTATTAGTGGGTTCGAAAATTTGATGCCAGGCCCAAAAGGGTATTCTGTTTCTAAATGCTAATAATGTCCTTTGTTACAGATGTAAGAGTAATGGCCATATGTTAGATGTAAGAATGCGAAAATGAATACGACGCGAATTTTAATACAAGTGAGGTACTCATAGTCATTGTTTGGAAGCACGTGAAAAGTTTATGCGGGTGGTATTGCACAAATCAATAGGCCATTTTCGGGACTTCAAATGTAGCAAAACAAAAAATATTAAGATTCAATTGTGTAGATCAACGTTATTTTAGAACACGAACTTTGTAGTAACGAACTGAAACGACTCTCGAATTAATGCGGATTAACTACATTGCATTGTTAAGTCCACAAGAATTGTGGGAATATTTGGATAAACTACACTTGTGGCTTTAATTGTAATACATGGTCTAGGACTAGAATCTTAGAGTGCTCCGACCTATTCAGTAGTATTAAACACTTGAGAATCTTGGTGCAAGTAGAGCCTCCCACCGATCTGTCTTGCGAGTGATAAAAACACGAATTTATTAGAGTATTAGCAAAAATATAACAAAAATGTAGCGTCCGATGTCATGGAGGTATGTTATAGCCATATATGAGCAGGGCTCGTCTGCCTGTAGAATGCCCCGTACCGCCTAGCCGAATTGATATAAATACATCCTTTATTTTAATCTATCATTCTATCAACGATTTTAGCTTATGTAATCAATAATTCGAGGCTCGTTTGTATTCTTTTAGAACATTTAGTGGCTCTAAAAAGAGCCGTTTGGTTTGTTTAATCTTTAGAAGCCAGTCATCTATCCACCAAATCCGTAGAGGGTTCGTCCTTGTCGTTTGAGTGCGTACACAACATCCATGGCAGTGACGGTCTTTCTCTTGGCGTGCTCGGTGTAGGTGACGGCATCACGGATCACGTTCTCGAGGAAAACTTTGAGAACACCGCGAGTTTCTTCATAGATCAGACCCGAGATACGTTTTACACCACCACGACGAGCAAGACGACGAATGGCGGGGTTTTGTGATTCCCTGGATGTTGTCTCGTAAGATTTTGCGATGACGCTTGGCGCCTCCTTTTCCAAGACCTTTGCCTCCTTTACCACGACCAGACATCTTTCAATATTTTCTTTCTTTATTTTCTTCGAGGTTCTTCTAAACTGTAGAATTGGAATGGAATGATTCTCAAATTTTTTGCAGCGCTTATATATAGTGGGGTTTTTGTGTCGGACGTCTGAGGAGACATAAGTCATTAGTATTCCTTAGCCATTGATTGGTTCAAAATTATGATAGCTCATTGGTTATATTTTTTTCATGATGCGTTACATGCAAATTTTGATCCTCTGTCTTAAAGCTCGATCACTGTGATTCTCTGACTTTTGTTCATGTCTGAACTGAAATGACTAACGATCTTCCAAACTATGGCTTGACTCATGTCTATATGATGTTTATGCTGGTCATGTCTATATGATGTTTTATTATATGGTCTATCTTGACTCGATGTTCGATTTCCAGGCCTTTGGTGGTTTGAATTATACCATATAGTCATAGAGACAAACACTTCATCTTCAGCTGTGATAATTCTTCGGATAATCCATGTGTGTATTAAATCAGTACTGTAAAAGTCGCCCGTCAAAACGAATTTCAGGCGAAGACGGCAACTGACACGGTGAACTTTCGCGCGTTTCAAAGCTCTCTTCTTCGGCTACGTGACGCCGGCTGGATGATTCGTCTATACTTTACTGATAGACATAGTACAGCAGGTAACTATTTGGCAAAGAGACTGGTACGTTATTTTATAGCAAATTCTAAAATACAGCTGTCGTTAGGCGAGAGAACATTATTTTGGGGAACACATGTACGGTACCACTCTAAAAACACGGACTGTGCCAGCGTAGGTAGGGACAATAACACCAGAAAGCAGTTCGCCGGCATTGAGTGCGATTCAAATTCCTAAAAAATTCAAACAACAATTCGACGTTTCGAGAGACAAACACTTCAACTTCAGCTGGTCCGAAAATGAGATAGTTTTTCGGATAATGGACTGGTCATAAAGTAACTGCTAGGGTGGGCTGGAGGTAAATCACAAATTTTGCCAATAAGTTTGGTGACCCATCTTAGGATGTAGATAAAAATTTCAAAGCCCATCTAATCTTGCCAAATTTATTTCATGACCCACCCACCCAATCTAAATTGGGAAAATACAATTTTATAACAAAAAAAACTTGGCACTATGTATTGACATACATAATTCCACCAAGCTTGACCAACACTGACACATTCATCACCAATTACGATACTGAGCGCTCTCCAGTTGGTTGTATTTGCTGTGATTCGACCACTTGTTGTTGTATAAAACAAAGTACTGGCTTCAATAGCATCATTTGCATTTGATAATATGGATAGTTTTGTTTA